AAAAAAAACGATTCCTTTGAAATCCCACCAAACAGATTGCATCACCTTTTTTTGATGAATATCGGCTTTCGAAGTGCTTTGAGCCGGTTCATCTTTTTTACTCCATGATCTCTTGCGTTTAACATTGTTGTAGACAACCCATTTCTCGTCCCCAGTGATGATGCGCTTCAAAATTTTCTTGACATTTGAGAAGCAAATCACAGACGTCAATGCGGCACAAATTTCTTTTCGAAAGAACATGAGGAACCCATATGTCGAGCTTTGAGATTAAACCTAGGCGTTTCAAATGATCATGAATTCGATAAATTTAATCTCTCAGCGATCTCACGAGTTGTTATTTGCCGGTTTGCATCAATTAATGCCTTTATTGTGTCTTCATCAGCTTCAACTGGCCTTCCAGAACGAGGTGCATCTTCAACATCAAAATTGCCGGATCGAAATTTTGCAAACCAGTTTTGGCACTGGCGTTCTGTCAATACATCTTCTCCATACACATCGGATAATTTTTTTCTTGCTTGAACAGCATTTTTACCTTTTCGATAGTAAAAATGTAAAATATGCCGAAAATGCTGCTTTTCACTTTCCATATTTGATAGGGCACCAACCAAAAATTACTGCGTAGAATCAATCGAACTTTTTTCACTAGCAAGCCTTGCTATATCAGCTGTCAAAATATATAATGATTATGCGGCTTAGTGAAAGTGTGAAGTTGGCTGTGAAAAAATACAATTAAGTCCTCTGTTGGGAAAAAACGAAATTACTTTCCGAACAACCCAATAGGATGCCGTCCATGTACATGGAATCGGAACGTCAGAATGGATTTCTTACTAGAAATGAGTTCACTAGCATTCCGTAAGAAGTTTCTCTACTGTATCAGAGAACTATCGAAATCATGGCCGGAACGGTATAGAGACGATACGGAATTAATGGAATGTCATGTCGATTGCAGGCTATATTGATCCAGCTATTGTTGATGATTGAAAATTTGATAACTTCAAAGAAGAAAATTAATAATAATTTTTATTTTTTAATATGACATATTCTTGTTTTATATATACATACCAACTATAATGCCAGCAATTCTTTAAATAATTTCGATGTCATTCTGAAGTAATTGAAGAACTTCTCACGACCGGTCGTTTGCATTTCAAGGATTAAATTGTCACTTGCGACGCCTCATTCTTTGTGTAAACATTGATTGTATCCAGAATTTTCTTGTTATTTCTGCTATTGCAATAAAACATTATAAGTGAAATAAAATTTTCACACACTCTTAAATATCGGAATAACACACCAACTTGTCTTTCGCAATAATTTTAACATTAATAATAACACTACTTCTTTATCTTTCATTGTAGATTTACAAAAAAAATTCCTGAATATTCGTTTCAATTTTTAGATTCAACCAACTTAGCTGAACATGCCGTTCCATTCCGTAAAAATTTTCTCTACCCGTCCGATTTCTTACTAGAAAATTGAGTTTACTACAATTTCGTTTCATAAGAAATTTCTCTATCCGTCCCATGTAGCCGGAACGCAATGGAATTTTGGTAACAATATATATCTTACTTTTATAATTCAGTATTTTTGAGTATTCAAAGTAATGTTATAGGTAAGATAATTGCACAAATTATGCATATTACTGCTTTAGTCGCATTAAAATAACGAAATATCGATTAAATTAAGCAAATTAGCTTGCGACTGAGGCGACATTCCGTCTGTTTCCATTCCGTTCCGGCTACATGGGACGGATAGAGAAATTTCTTATGAAACGAAATTGTAGTAAACTCAATTTTCTAGTAAGAAATCCGTTCCGTATACATGGGACGGCACCCTTACGCATGAAGCGTATATCGTTTTATTCTTCTTTGTTATTTGGTGAACAACAAAGACAAATAATGCATTGTGCGCTAATTCGGAACGCATTCATAGACAGATCGGCGGAGATTTAGAGAGAAACGCTTACAAACTAAGCACACAATGTTATTCCATCATGACTCGGAGCCGGGTCGAGTCGTAAATCGAATACGCTTTAGTTATTTACAAATATAATAATATGATATTGTTTACATGTTTCGTTAACAATTAAAGAAATGTTCATCTATTAACATTTAATATTGAATTTCTTGTGACCATCTTTGCCTTTTTAAGGAGTTTATCATCTTATGCCCATTGATACTAATGTAGATTAATCTTAGTTCAACTTACTCTTCATCTTTTTCTAATTCTTAGAACTAGAGAAAAATAAAAAGTTGAACCGAGATTATAGTTAATCTACATTTGTAGAAACGAGCATTAAGAGAGGAAGAGAAAGACGATATATTGAACTACTGTTAATACTACTGCGAGTTAATCGTCAGCTTAATCGGATTAAAAAAAGAGTTTTAATTAAAAGGTTGTTAATATCTAGAAAAAACCAAATTAATCGGGATACGATGTGTTTTTTCTTGTCAAATTGTTTGCGTTTTAGTAAATTACTAAAATTGCATCACATAGAATGCAGAATTTCTAGTAATTTATTAAAATGCAAGCAATCCAACGGGATAAGTTATTTTCCAACTTTGCATAAATGTATCAAATAATTGTATGTTACACAAACCAATGAAATGTGTAAACATATAGAAAAATTGCAAAAAAAGGATGTTCCAAATATGGGCCATTATGTAGCAAAGGGTTCAATACTGAACGACAATAAACGTATTTAATAATTCTTCTAATCTAATTATTAAAATATAACTAGGGTTGAATAGTGTTGGATAGTACCTAAATCCATGTATCTAGATATACGTATAGATATTTTGTATATCTCTCTATTTGATTATGAGTATTACTGTCGTTAGTGGTGCCATATAGATCTGCGTACGGACCATTCGGGGAGCACACTGTCAGCATTATTGCGTTATTAGCTACATTTAGCAAAGAAAGTAGTTTTAAAATTGTTATAAAATTCTTCAATATGACTGGTTTACATATGTTTATACATTTATAGAAAACAAAGGTAAGAATCAAACATATCAAAGAATTTCACAATAGTTGGAAGCTGCTTTGTCTGTTGAATGTAGCCATTTAGCAAATATATTTTATATATATTTTGGATATATATATTTGTTATATTATCTTATTATTATATTATAATAAAAATAAATAAAAAGTATCTGATTACTTGTATCTGTACATTTTAATTTGCATATTTGTATTTGTATCTAGATGCATTTTTCATTTTTTCACATCTATCGAAATACATACTTTTTTCTATTACTGGGGTTGGGAAGAATTTGTAACTTGTTTCTTGTAACAAGGTTACAGCTAGAGTTACTTTTTTCAGTAACTGTAACTTAATTTTTATATTTTTTGGAAATTAGTAATAGTTTCCAATTTAATAATTATTTTTAAAATTATTTATTTCGAATTTATTCGTCAACATATAGATTGACAAAAATTAAGTGCTCAATATGAACAATCAGTAGTTATTTCTTATAATTGGAATATATTTTTATCTTTAATAATCATCACACTCTGTATAAATATCTGTATTAAGAATGAAAATGAAACCTTAGAATTGTAGAAATTTTTTAATATGGGATGTCTTAATATTAATCCCATAATTTTGATCCAAGTATGTATTACTTTATCATAAATATAACATGTAACCGAATGTTTAGTATACGTAAAACAATTCGATGCTAAAAATATTTAAAATTCTGGTATTTAAAGTAGTAATGCAAATATAATAAGATATAGTAATACAAAAATTAACCAAAAGATTATTGAAAAGTAATGTGTATCGTTACTCTTTTTAAATAACTATAATTATAACGTGTTACTTTTTCGATAACTTGTAATGATAATTAAGGGGATATAACAAAGTAAAATTAAAAAAAAATCTAATTTTTTTTCGAAAGATTGATATGTCTAAAAAATATGCTCCTGAAAGATTTTTATATTAATAATTAATTCGCTGAAATTCGCAGTATTTTTCGAGTTATGCAAATTTTAGGGAACGGACGCACAGTGCTGAATGTGCAATACTGAAACTTTAAATGTGTTTTTCTCAAAACTATTTTTTTTCAACTGGCGGCATCTATAACTCAAACAATTTTCGACCGATCAGCTTCACAAAATTGAATAGTTTCAGTTAAGCGTAAGGATTTTTTTTTAATCGTTCAAAGGACAAGATGTTTAAGAAGTTCAAAATGTAGTGAAATTAAAATTGTTTTCAACCGTTGCTATTTTGTAAAAAAAATTATTTAAAAAATCGCTACACACTTAACTGAAACTCATATAGATTTAAAATTTTCAAAAAAATTTTCATTTCAAATAATTACAACTTGAGTTCTCTACGCTGTCGATGGACCATGTTTTTTAAACATAGAAGTTTACAATGCTGTGCAACATCGTCATATATTTATTATATTTTGACATATAAAAATTCTTAAAATGTCTTCAAAGTATACCCAATTGATATACCAATTCATATTTTTTCTAAAACTTATAGTTACTTTAAAAAAACAAAAAAATCGACATAAAAAGCATTTTTTAAAGGCTTTTACTCTGTTATATTTTTTTAATTACTTTTTGAAAAAAAAAACTGTAACTCTGTAAGTAATTACTTGTACAAATTTTTCGAATTTTGATATAACATTATCAGAACTTACTGCAGCGTCCATGATGACAACAGTGGTTTTATTTTTCCGTTTCGAAATATCAATCCCAAGATGGTCTGCAAAATGGAAATAATGCAAACTGTCGATAGCTATTAATGCTAACGTCTTGTTGGTTTTGCAGACTGATTCTTTTAAACTAAAGTTAAATTGCCTCGGAGAATCTCGTGGGAATAATGATGGATGATAATCATTCCCAGCTAACCATCTTCTGCAATCACCTTTTAAAAAATCTCTTCTCACCATGTTTGCGGATCGTGAATCATTATCTTCCTTCAATAATGATGATTTATATTCTATACCTGCATGCAGCCTTAAAACATATTCTTTTTTAGAAAAAGTTGCTTTGAAACGACGTATATCTGTATTTATGGATAAATATATTACCTTTTTGATGTTGACTCTTGTAATTTTATTGACACATAATTTTTATTATAATTATATATCTGTTTTTCATGTTGTTTAATCGTAGCAGGAGTCATAAATACATCGGTCTCTTTGCAGACATCAAATTTTTTAGAAATAACTGTACAAATTTCTTTCTTTAATGGATTCATCACCTTTGTTTTGCACAAGAGACATTTATTCATTGCCACGTTCGCACAACAACTATTATTGATCCATTTCTGAATTGATATGCTAGCAACTGATTCCTTTATTTGCTTAGTATAGATTCTGTTTTTTTTTAGATCAGCGCATTCTTGATTTCTAGAAAAGTGTCGAATCACTGCCGTACGTCGTTTTGCTTCTAGACGTGCAATTATATCCTTCACTAACATACTATCTGCACAGTTATAATACTGTAAACCGATCTCTCTTATCTGAAAAACAAGAACATTTGTAACGATGTAAACCATACTATTATTTGCTATAAATATGTATTATGTAAGAGAATATTTATTGTATTTTCGTATACATATCAAATAATAACACATTTAATTTGATATATGAAAATTATAATCACAGTATAAAAATTATTTTAAAAAATTTTAAATATTAGAAAGTGGCTTTAATTATTACAAAGGTTAAATGAAAAGGAGCATACAGTCACACTTTAAATACCTAGCGCCTTCCTGGTCCTAGTGTTAAGATGTTGAACTACTATCCAATATACATTCAATTAAATTGATAATTCTGAAATATTAATTCAATTTAATTGAATGTATATTGGATAGTAGTTCAACATCTTAACACTAGGACCGGGAAGGCGTTAGGTATTTAAAGTGTGGCTGTATGCTCCTTTTCATTTAACCTTTATTTTTTAAAAATTTATATTTTTATACGGTTGTATAAAAAAGAATTTTATTAAGTCTTATAAATATTTAACTTAAAAATTATATTTAAAAAACACATAAATCGTAAATGGTCTGTTTTTTATTAAGATTAGGAAGTATTTATGAAATCATACTAAAAAATCAGAAGAAAGATAATGTTACAGATACAATAACGCACCAAATTGTAAATATAATTTTCCATATGAAGTGGATTTCGTGGTGTAAAGAGAAATAAAACTGGTCCTTCGCGGAGATAGGGCGCGAGAGTGAGCGCTTTAATTCCAGGAGGCTGCAGCCAGAGAGATGGTTGATGAATAGAATTGCTGATCCAATTTAGGATGTTCTCGGAAGTCCACTCATTGCCTTCCGGATAACTCTAAGTGTTTTTAAACCTGGTGTATAATGTATGATAGAGAGTAAAGAGATTTGCGTGCTACGCACTTACTAAAGATTCATTCCACATGAGCAAACTTGCTGATGGAAACTTGTGGACTCCGTAATGCAATTTGCTGCATAATGCACTAGTCACTATAGCAAATACTAATTCTCTATTAGGATCTCTTTCTAACGATCGTGTCGCGGCCTTATAAAATTCTCTATATCCAGGAGTTCTATCCAATCGTGTAAAATTAAAATATCCAACAACGACTGCCTGCAAGTTATCAGAGTAATATTAATTTATTATTAATATATTTAGATAATTATTAAAATATATAAATAAGAGATTATGAATAAGCGATCCGCCCAAGGAAAATTCATCCACTTCATTGCACCTTAATTACTAAAATAAGTGTATATTAAATTTTTCACAATTCATCTTATGCGAAAATTAAGATAAAAAAATACACGAAAGTGAAAAATGTAATGTTTAAGTTAATATTTTAAATTAATAGTTAAGGCAGTTCTTCATGCTTAATAATATTTCTTGTGAATTTATACAATTTCCAGTTCAAGCTAATTGTGTACCACCGATAATTTATCGGTTTCGAAACATAATCCTAAGTCAAAGCTGGTGTAGTAATATCAATCACAATTCAATTGACAAGTTATTTAGTAATATTAATGCTCAAAGTATCTTAAGATCTTAATAATTTAATGCTGATAAGCATCTTATATAAAACCTATAAATAATTTTATATTTAAAAAAGTTTTACTTTGAATGTTGTTAACACTAAAGATCTCTAAAAATAAAATAAAAAAATGTACGAAATTTATTTATTTCCTTTCTCAAATCAGAAAAAAGTTCTTGTTACTTGATTAATAGCTGAAAAATAAACTTAATTATTTTTTGAAATACTTACATCATAGGCAACCAACAATTCCATTAATTGTTCTTTATGTGTTATCCTAATAATAGGATTCATAAATGCATCCAGAAAACGAATCATATATGGTGCCGTACGAATTCCTCTATAATTAATACCAGAATTTCTGGATGGATACAACATCAACACTGGATAACCATGGATTTTATTATACTGCGCTCTGCACTCTGAATCAGGATGCCAACAATTAATGGCTGCAAAAAATATCTAAGAACACACAATGCTCAAATACTTATAAACATATAAGGAGAAACGTAGAATACTGAATCACTATTTACCTGTGGATGATAAAACCGAGCAACACTTTCAAATTCGTGCCGAAGAGCCTGACTTTCTGCATCCCAGGGTGCGTAATACATAATAAAGCTAAAATCTGCTTGCGTTAGCCTCTCGATCATTGCATCTAGATGACCTTTATAGAAGTCCAGTATCACCGAGTTTTGATCAAAAAAAGGTTTCGCTATGGGAGGCTTGGAAAGTTTGGGTGGCCTGCAAAATTCACGGTATCAGTATATATACGTATATTAATAATTGAGGATAAAATCCATATAGTATAGTTGTTATAATCGCATGTGTGTGTGTGCGTGTACGTAAAAAGAGGGATCCAATTGCTCACATCAAATTGATCACTAAATGACCAATTTAATATAAAATAATTTCATTGTAGTTTATATATATATGTTTATGCAAAGAGTATAATACATATACATGTTTCAGAATTCGTGGACATGGATTGTACAGCATGATTGTATGTGCCAAAAGAAGCAACTTTTTCCTTTGTCAAAATTGCATTCAAACAGTACTTTTTAAATAAGAGCGATTTTAAGTTAATGAATGAACGCTCCACATTACGCGTGGATTAGGAATACACACGATGCGGTCCTGGCGTATGAGCATGTATGTTATTATTTTACTATTTTGCTAAAGATTTTGTAAAAACTATGCATGATATATAAAAATCATTATTTTGAACAACTTATTTAAGACGAAATATTTTCTAATTGATATCGCTGAAAAAACGAAAATAAAATAAGTAAACAACTTGTAATTATGATATTTAGAGCGTGTGCACCGCTCCTGATCCATGCGTAACGTAGAGCGCTCATTCGTTAACTTAAAATTGCTCTCATTTAAAAAGTACCGTTTGAACGCAATTTTACCAGAGAAAAATGTTGCTTCTTAGCACATACAATCACCCCGTGTCCGCGAATTTTGAAACAATCTGTATATATATTCCAGAATGACCGCTAAATGTTTTGTGCGCAGGTAAAGCGGATTAAATTGAATCGAAAAGTTCTGTAACATTTTGCAATTTTCGCAATAGTTAACAAGATATTAATTACTAAAAATCGCTAAATATTGATTCAATAATTTTTTACTAAGTACTTGACAGGAAAACAGCAACAGACAAAAATTATTATTTTTTTTTCATAGAGTTCTGAAAATTTTTTCAAAATTTTTTAATATCGAATTTTTTCATGTTGGTAAAAATAGTTGCCAATATAAAAAAATGCAGTACTAAAAAGTTGATAAAAAAATATTGAAAAAAATTCTTAGAGCTCTATGAAAAGAAAATAAATAATTTTTGTCTCTTGCTGTTTTTCTGTAAAATTGATAGTACTTGAGTAAAAAATTATTAAAGACCAAAATTCGGCAATTTTTAGTAATTAATATCTTGTTTAACTATTGGAAAAATTGTAAAATAGTAGATGACTTTTCGATTCAGTTTAATCCGTTCTACTTGCGCACGAAATATTTGGTCATTCTGGGACACCTTTATGTATACATACACACTGAAAAATTACTAGGCCGATGTGTGTGCTATTAGAATAGCCTAACAGAGATTCCTCCCGTTGTATACAGAATATCCCATTTTAATCAATCTAGTCAATTTTTTTCAAAATTATTGACAGAAAAATGTTTCAGATTGAAGTGAAATGGTTTTGAGAAAGACGTAGTTTCATGTAAAGTGAGGAGGAACAAGCAACAGATAAGGAGAAAGAATCCTCCAAAATTCGACCCGCCAACTGATAAAAAGGAGGCGACTTGTCGCTCGTTGCGATTGACTCGTGATTTGTAGATCCGGATTCAATTCCATCTGCGTAAGCGACTTTTCGCTCCTTTTTAAGAAGCCAAAAATGGTTCCATCTGATGATTGAAATTTTTAATTATCAGTGCCATTCGGATCCGGCGTTAAACTGTAAATCCCATATATCAGTGGATATATGTACGGATCCCTTAGGGGGGGTTGGACATTAGATTAACAACATAATTCCGGAAAAAATTCATTAAGGAAATCTCATGAGAAATAGGCCCTGTCCTGCCTTGAGATGTTGCATCATCGAATAAATGAACGAATAAATGACTGATAAAGATAAAATTAACACTAACGTCATGCAAACGTAGAGTATTTTCAAGAACTCTACAACGCTCGCGTTAGCAAGAGATAAACTCTGAATTTATTCAAACATTTCCTTCTCTCGCGCTCTCCGACGATGAGAAATGAATTCTCTGGAAATTTTAAACGCATTACCTCATCTCAGTGTTTAAATAGGGATTTATCCTGTCGACAGACTGCCGAGAGTGTGGATAAGGTCGACTACCATTATTGTTAACACAGATGATCACGATCAACCCGGCTAATATTGGGTCATCTTCCACATCGATCATACTAAGCAAGATAACGTATTTCAATAGCTATGGAATATCATCTTTGAACTCCAGATTTTTCATGCCTTTGTCAAAATTCCACCACGTTTGCTGGAATACGACGACGCTGCAAGGAGTGCTTTCTGAAACTTGTGGGCAACTGCTGTGTATTTCTATATTTTATGTAATGGTTATAATCTTAGGCAGTTCCTTAGTCTACCTCTGATTATAAACGCAATGACCATTTGATCGTACAATTATTTTATAAAATTTTTCTTCATTGTAAATATAAATCCGCCAAATCTCATGCTATCATGTTCAATCGTGTACTTTTTTAAAATAGAAAATATAAAAAGAAATGCTTATTCGAAAGAACTATTCTATAAAAAGAATTATACAATAGTAGGCATGAAGTGAGTCAATCAAAACGCGCCGTTTAATTAGTCATTACCCCCACTCTTCCCCACCGACCAATTAGAGTGCATTGTTTTTCCAGATTGGGTCCGTCTAGGCGATCTAGGTCACACCGGTGTGAAACTAGCGCCCAACTTTATCAAAAATAAAAATGGATACCGTAACGCGTTTGTACTTCGTTTGTATCTGTTTGTACCGATCATTATTTCATTTGTACCTCAAACAGTTAAAAAAATAAGTGAAAAATAAAAAATGGCCAGCGCGCATCTTTAAAATTTTTTAATTTCATTTATGCCATTCGAAAGAGAATCGTTTGTATTCGTTTGTACCTCAAAGGGCTCGGAGATATAGCGTTTTTCAAAATTTCGGAAATGCGCCAGGGGGATAAGTCGGCCGTTTTAAAAGATATCGAAATGCGATCAACGACATTCAGTAGATAATCACCATCTCCTTCATTTTTGTTTGTATACCGAACTTACCCTTCTATGTCAACTTACCCTCTTTGCGCATTTCCGAAATTTTGAAAAACACTCTCCGAGTCCTTTGAGATAGAAACGAAAATAAAAGAGATACAAGCGTACAAACGATTCTCTTTCAAATGCCGTTGAAAGTTAAATATTCCGCGTTTTGTATTATACAATAATGTACAAATAAATAAGCAGATACGATTTTAGCTGGATTTTGGCCTAATAATACTTTATATATGTATAAACATTATTAAGATTTAAGAAACAATCATATAAATAAACACATCATACACGATAGAGAACGCCAACACGATCAAAGTAGATATTTCGAATAATATATTCTTTATTAAATCAATTTATTTCAGATATGATTTTATGTATAATATTTGGACATAAATACAGTTTTCAATCTCAAATTGCCATTCACTATCAGATTTGAAACGCAATTATAAACTGAAACTAGGAATTCAGAAATTAAGTTGATCATCAATTTTTAATAATAATGCTATTTAGCTTCTTAAAACACTACAAAGAAAACCTTCAAAACTGCCTCTACTTATTTATTTATGTATTATATATAATACAAAACGTAGAATATTCACTATACGAATAAAAAAGATATACGATTATGTAAACAAAAACGAATATAGGTACCTGGATATCTGAGTATCATTAGCTCATGTTTCGATTTCTATCGAGTCATTCTCAATATTAAGTACATTTACAAAAATTCAACAGAGCAGATTATAAAATTCAAGTGTAGATTATAAAAATAATATTAATCAATACAAGATAATACTCGTATATTGTATTATAATCAATCCATACTTTGAAATTAATGAAGGTCGTCTTATCGTCTGTTATCATGTCAGTGAATTTCCACATCATAAATGATCAATATGTAAAACATGGTAAAGTCAAGTGAACGCTTTTCGTTTGATATTACAAAGATCACAAAACAGTATAACACAATTTAACTAAAAATGTTTGTGATCCATTCTATACAATTATGTCAAAATATTTTTTAAACAAAAATTATTCTTTTTTAAAACTTAAATTCCAATCATATTATTCTTTTTTACATTAAATTTCCAAACTTTTTGTACAAAAAGTTTATTCGCTGTTCATTCATCAAGAGATCTTGCAACTAAAACTCAGGATCAAAATTCTCTGTACATTTAAGATGTTACGATAATTTTGTAATTGTTGATTCTTAATATACTATAATATAATATTATATAATGCTATATAGTATAAATAATAATAAATATAAATAGGTCTGCAAATCCCCAAATATTTTTGCACTTAAAATGAGATAGATACATATTTTACTTTAAAAAGAGAGAAAGCGAAGATATCGAGTGCCAAAAGTGCAAGCAACGTGAACAGACCTAATATAATATAATACACTACAATACACAAAAATAATACTAAAAGATAAGAAATGGATAAAAATATCTAAAATAAAAATAAAAAATAAGTTTAAAAACAAAAAAAAGTCAAAATGAGATCAATAATCATTATGTTCTCGTTGTTGGTTCTAGACAAAGTGATTTAAGAAAAACTTTAATATTTTTTATTAAAAAATAGTTATTTATAAGGTTAATATATATTTATATATATAATACAAACAAAATGTCAAAAGGCTCAATAAAAATAAATAATAATATAAAAGAGAGCTACAAGCCTAATATAAAAGTTTTAATATAAATAGTTAAATCATAAACAA